ATATTTATCCACCCAAACCTTGTTGGGTATCAATGTTATACCTAACAATTCGGTCTACTCTCATATATTAGTTGCCTGCACTGAGTCATGCACCACCTCTGGAAGTTAGTCAAAAAATGCCCTCCTTCAAGAATACCTGAAGATTATTGATAATTATACTGAGCAACAGTAGCCTACCTGGAGCGAAATAGGCTGAGATCTAGACACCTAGCCATCTCTACTGCTAAAGCATTTGTAAAAGATGATTTCAACACTCACATGTGGAAACAACATTGATTAGAAAAGCCCCCCCCCCAATGTAGAAACTTTTCCTGCATGTTGGAAAAACCAGAGCCCCATGTGATATAAATAACATTGAACTGATTCGCATTGGTCATGGTAGATGTACATATGCCCTCTACAAGTGGGGCAAAATACCCATCACTGAATTGTGACTGGGGCCAAGAAACAAACTATTCAACACATAGTGACAGAGTATCACAACAGAACCTATAATGGAGATTTCACTGATTTTCTGGCTGCCACCAATGAAGTAAAAAGTTATATTTACATACTTTTGTAATCTTCCTGTTAAGATTTCATATTTTATATTCTTATGTTTTGTATTTTAGCCCTGTCTTTCTTTTTTACCAAAATATGATGTGAATGTGCCATATGATAAATAATAAAAATTTGGGTCTAGTGGACTGCTGAAAACATGAAGGTCGGCTGGGAATCAAGCTATGTCAGCATCAACGTGTCTTGCTCACTGCTACTGTGGATATTCCATGCTCTCCTTCTAGCTCCTAAAATTTGGCAGATATGCAATCGTTCCAATCAAGAAGAATCATCAAGCCTGTCTTTATTCATTAGTTATACAACATATTTTAATCGTTTCTGCACTCATTTCAAGCTACCTCTTCAAATTTGCCCAAGTAAAATAGAGGAAACTTGTAGGAAAAAGTGATAATTTAACATATTTATCTAGATTGGATATTAGCCTATGAAACACAATGTCCTTATCTGTCATTTCTCCTTTTACTAAGTATACCATACAGCTCTAAAATATTTCTTTGCATTATTGATCATTCACGCCAGAGTCATTTTTTAGACAAATCCATCTTTTTCAAACCAAAACTTGAGCAAACATTAACAGGTTTGTAAATCACTTGCCTTAAAAATTCATATATGCATCTTTGAAATGCTGATAAAATGTAAAATCAGCTTGTCCTTTGCCCACCATTTCTTAATGTTACAGAAAAAGAACGATTCTTTACATTAAGGAAACCCAAGAGGAAGACCTAATGCTTAATGAGTTTCTATAACAAAGACATACTTCAAGATTTTAAAAAAATCTTATACTTTACTTATATATTTTTCTTTTTTCATTATTCACCATTTCCCATTCTGATACTATGGACTGTTTAGGCTATCTGTCTTTTTACTTGTAAAAATCTTTAAGAACTTTTTATAAAAATCAACATTTTTTAATTAAGTTTCATTCTGGTTAAAAACCATCTCACTAGATGAGACAATGGAAAAGCCACGACCACATTACATACATTGCCACAAGCACTAACAATTAAGTCCAAAGAAAATGTTTACCATATTAAAGAGAAAAACATTGAAATATTTTGTTACCTATTATTCTTAAAAAAATAAGATACAAGAACATTTTGTGCTTTACCACATTGTCCTGTCCTAATGTTCAGTAAAATAGAACAATAATTAAGATAAAAATTCTTCATATGGATTCTAAAAGTTTAGGGAATAAAGTACACTTTAAACTATTTCATAAAAATGCAAAATGTTGCATTTTCTACAATAACGTGCTTTGGGAAATAGAACAGCGATAGTGGAAACAAATGCCTGTCCTTTCCTAATTTATAATTGCTTTTGATTCTAGAATGTTTATTTTGCAAAAATGGGGCTGATAGGAAATAAAACAAAGCAAAGTGCAGTCAAATATAGTCAAATAAGAAAATAAAAGGGGGGGGGGGGAAGCAATTGGCACAAGATTGCTTTTCAATGGAGAAGAAACAATCACAGCTTTTAAAGTCCATGCTGCTGTAACTTCATGTTAATATAGTGCAGTATACCCTAAAGGCCTATGTGCTGCATTCAATTGATGATATGCATGCACAAACAAGCATAGCCGATTCATGAGTTCAGATAAAACATGATGTTCAGCTGAGAATCCATTGAAGAATTAAGAGATAGGTTGCATGCAAGTATGAAAATTTTTGTTTGCAAGTCAATGTAACTTTGTCTTGATGTATACCAAGGTCCCTGAAGAAATGTATTATTGTATAATGATTATTATTGGACAGGATGATGGTCACTGGATTGATTTAAATTGATATCTGTATGTTTGTTAAATCATCTTATTAGAACAAGAACATGAGCTTCTCACGGTTATAAAAAACACTTTAAAATATAACTACAAAAATGTTGCTTGCTTTTTTTTAAAAAAAATAGGAAAGCAGTTTCCTATTTACATCTTTCAAAAGGATTACTGAACAAACAATTGGGGATTTTTGTCAGGCTCAGTGCATTCTTAATCATTAAGTTCAATGTCTTCCATTTCTAAAATACTTTCTGTGCTTGTTTCTGTTATTTGCACAATAAACTGCAATCGAAACACAAGCACAATAACCCACTTGAGAAAAAATGGACATTAAAAACCCATCTGTTTCTGATAGCTGCTGGAAAAGGTACGGTTTTTTTTTTCATCCTCCCAAATATCTGTCCAGGTTGAAGTCCCTCTCTTACCCTCTGAGGTCTGTATTGACCCCTTTGGAAATTCCATTGGTTTTAGACCCCTCAGGGGGTTCAGCTTTGGGGCTGCTGCTCATGCTACAGGAAATGCTGCACTCTGTTTTGGTAACTTATCAAGCAAACTGGCACTTACATCAAGATAAGGATTATGATGCCATCAGTCATTGTCAGGTTAATGACATAAGAAATGCCCTTTCAATGAACCAAATTACATGGCCAAAATGTAACAAAATCCCAACGAAACTTTGACAGTTTCCCTTAGGTGCTGATGAAGAAGCAGATGCTGATATTTTGATGGAGGTGGAAAAAGCAAAGAACATTAGGCTTGTCTGAGAGAAGAATATGGGAATGGGATTAAGCTCATTACATCTTTGAAAACCTAGATTATCAGAGGAAACAAGTTAAGACAGTAGATAGTTGTTCTTAGTCTTGAGAGAAGATCAACCTAATTCAACAGAACCAGGGGTGGGATTCAACCGGTGTTACTACCGGTTCGGTGCGCACGTGTGTAAAAAAAAAATTAAGCTGTGCTGTCTGGAGAGCTGAAAAGCGCTACGCGTGGGTGCGCGGCATTTGGAAAGCTTCTTTTTTCCTGCTTTTTCAACCTCAGTTGTGCCATGCAAAGCAGCTTGAGGTTGAAAAAGCAGGAAATAAAGGACAGGTAAGAGCCCGGGCGGGCAGGTGGGCCAAACAGCAGCAGTCACAGAACTGGTTCAGTGTCTGCTGCTCTTCAGAGCTACCAGTTTTTGAAAACCGGGCAGAACTGGTAGCATCCCACCCGAGCAGAACCTTTACTTTATATGATTAAATAATTGTACATAATTGTCCTTCCAATTTAATTTAGGTCTATTAGTAACTTGTATGCAGTTAATCAGCTTATTAGAAAAGGACTTGTGTTTCTACCATGATGTCTTAGTGCTCTTTCTGCCACTCCCATTCTGAGTGCAACCTAAACTTACTGCAACATTTTAGGAAAGTGGGGATGTAACACGTAATATTTTACTCATGATAGGAATTATGTGACATGAGTATTGTTGATAGTGGTTTTGTACCAAAGGCCATCAGAGACTAGGAGTTTTGGGAAGGCAAATCTGCTTGTACAGGCAGTCCTCAACTTACGACCACAATTGTGCCCAAAATTTCTCTTGCTAAGCAGGTTTTGTCCCATTTTACAATCTTTCTTGCCACAATTGTTAAGTGAATCACTCCACTGTTAAGTTAGTAGCACAGTTAAGTGAATCTGAGTTCCCCATTGACTTTGCTTGTTAGGTCACAAAAGGTGATGTCATGACCCAGGACACTGGAACTGTCATAAATACATTCCAGTTGCCAAGCGTCCCAATTTTGACCATGTAGGGATGCTGCAATGATCGTGTGAAAAATTGTCATAAGTCAGTGCCATTGTAACTTCGAACAGTCACTAAATTGAATGTAATATTGTAAGTCAACCTGTACTTTCTCCAGTGGTTGATAAAATATATACTAATTTATCAGTTATTTCTTCCTCAAAGGATTCATAAATTAGGAATAAATATGTACATGAAGGGAAAAATGCACATGTGACAAATACCAAATCAACAGGAACAACTCTACCTCTCACCTACTTTATCAGTATTTTTTTTAAAATCTTTTAAACATCATAGCAATAACTAAAAATTGATTTAAATCATCCCAAGGTAATATGGCTTTTTTGTGATAATAAAAGACTGAGGAGGAAAATATAACTTTGCTACAGGCAGTTCAGTGGGCAAGTAAGTCCTTTTAATACACAAAAAATGTTTTTGCTCAGCAGCATCTGTTTTCACAACAAAATTACTGAAATTCATTGTGTAAGTTTGAACTAAAAATTTAACACACACAAATGTATATAACTGAAAGAAGCTATTGCTCTTCAAGGATTTAACTACCAGTGCTGAAATATGATATATTAACAGAATAACCTAAGCAACAGAGTTCATTTCACTATCCCACCTCTTTCATTTTTTAAAAAGGCAACTGGAAATCCTAAAAAAAAAAAATCCATAAAAAAGCAAATTGAATAAATACATCATCTTAAAAGTGAATAATTTTATTTATTTTACATATTATAATGAAAATTAAACTAGATTTGCAATATCCATTCTAATCTTGTGAAACCTTAGACTTATGATACACGTCTACTGCTATGATTCATACAAATGTACTGCTTGATTTCTTAACTTTTTTGTTCTTTTAAGATGATTGTAATTAATAGGGATAACAATGGAGATTAAATCTTATAGCCAACTCCCATCTTTATAATTATTAATTTCAAAACAAAATGTGAAACTGAGACAAGTTCAGTACCCATTTATGCTGGCTGGATTCAGACTGAGGTATTCTTCAGATCTCTAATATCAATTAAGTCTAAGCAGAACTAACTTAAGATTTACTGATTTAAGTGGTCTACTTTTAATACAACTAATTTGATGCAGGATTGTTAGCTCAAAACTCAGGTATAAGAAACTGAAAACTGAAAAAACTGTTAAAGAGAAAAATTTGTTTTAATTATTTTAAATTTATATTATTTTCTCAAAACTAATGGTCAATGTAAGCTGAAATTGAAGTTCTCTATGCATGCAATGTGCAGTATTTATCATTTTGTATTATAGAACAAAACCTCAGGTTCTATCATTATAACAGGAGACAAACTGGACAATACCATGTCTTCTTTAGAAGTAACCTTTTCAACTGTGAAGGGCATCCAAATTAAAAAAACACATTTGAAATTGCTGCATTATATTCCTTACTGTTTCATCTATAAAAACTTGCAAGCAGACTGAATACCAATCTGGCTCGTAGGCAAAACCTGTTCCAAAATTCATCATGAAAACAACGATCAGCTTCCATACCAAAGTGTGTGTCAGAGTAATATTTGTTTCTATTACTATTAGTGAAATGAAATAGTGTTTCCATGCAGTTATATTCAGTTCCATACACAGGTTTTTTTTTTTTTGGAATGAGAGCATTCAGGTTTTTTTCTAATGTTAAAACTAACCATGAGATGAAAGAATGCACATTAGGTTTAAGTGTCTGTTGAAATTATGAACTAAATGAAGATGTAGAGCATTCATGATCTGAAGCAAACTGAAAATTTAAGCATCAACTGTAAGAAATAAAATGGTCCTTTCCAGCATGTGACTGATTCACATAATAGGCACTATTGCAACTAATGAAAAGTTATAATATAAAATTGACCATTAATATATACATCTCAAAGATTTTGATTCCTCAAGTATCTAGTACACAAAAGATACTATCACCTTCATCTGTTTCAAACACATGTTCTACATCAAGTTTTATTTCCCCATGTCCTTCTTGCAACTCATCCAGAGAAGCCAGGGCTTCATTTGTGTCACTTGCAAAAGTCTCTCGGGAGGCATCGTCATATTCCTGAAGATTAAGTCCTTTAATAGCTTGCTTCATCTTTTTGCCCAGCACTTGAAGTCTCCTCTTCTTCGCAGCACATTTGTTCTCATACTCCTTTTGATTTTCAATATAGAAGATTTCCTTTAAAGAGAATGTTAATACCCCATGAAGTGAGAAGAAATAATAGACAAAAGCAGCTTTCACAAAACACCAACTGCCCTAACCAACTTTTAGAGCTAATCAGGGCTACTTAAGAAAGAACCCTCAAGTTTTTTTTTAAAAAAAGCCATTATATAGCTGCAGAATTACTTGAAAATGTATTCTTCTCCATAGTTAAAAGAAAGCCTTGTTATAAAATAATAATTTTGTAATAAAATAAATGCCTCTCCATTTACAATATTGAGAAAGAGAGTTTCTAAAAATTGAGAGGCATACCTTGGATCTATTGAAAAGAAGGGGCAAAAAAAATCAGGAAAATGAGACAGTTTATTGTAGATATGAAATATGCTACAGGGAGAATTTGGCTTTGAAGTAGAGAGAGAGACACACAAAGACTCTGTCTTTTGGACTCAAAAGAATTAGCTTTGGGAAGGTAGAAGGCTGTCCAGGTTATTGGTAGGCCCATGTAATATTTCCCAAATACATCCCTGCAGAGACTGTACCTGAGGGTTCTCCCCTTGTCTTTAGCTCAGAAGAGAGACATGCTAACCAATGAATAGACTGGCCCATCGACTCAGTGTTCTCTTACATCCACTTTTGGAACTCCACCCATTCTAAAGATTACATATGTTTTTCTTCATTAAGCATTAAAAATGTACTCTACAAAGAAGCCTTACAGAGAGCAAAACTGCACAGAGATTTCATATGAAAAGAATAGTCATCCTACAGTTTGAAATAAATAAAAGCACTAGGCAGAGTTACTACCATCAGTTCCATACATCTTTCAGATAGACTTGGACAGCACCCAAATATAGAACACAACAGTGGGGTGATATTTAGCTGACTTACTACAAAAGAGGCCTCAGGACTTCAACAAGAGTATTATCGTTACTATTTTGATGGTTTGGGTTATTTCATCATTACATTATTGAGAAGAGTAACTTTATAGGCAGTTGCTTGCAAAGTGAAGAATTTAATGATTAGGGAATGCTGATTTTGAATTACAACCTTCTTTTTTGTCTCTTCATTTTTACATACTTGCAACTATATAAGAAAGAGTTAATCATAATATGTCTTAAGAGTAACTTCTACAATACTAAAAAAAATTAAGAACAAAAGCTAAGGTTAGCAGTATAGAAAACAGCTGTCAGGAAGTCCTCAACATAACCATTTGTTTACTGATCATTTGAACTGACAATGGTACTGAAAAGCTGACATGACCATTTTTCACACTTACGACTGTTGTAGCATTCCCATGATCAAAATTTGGACTCTTGGCAACTGGCATGTATTTATAATGGTTGCAATGTTGTGGGTTCATGTGATCACCTTTTGCAATCCTCTGACAAGCAAAGTCAATGGGGAAGCCAGCTTCTCTTAACAAGTTATTAACAACTGCAGTTATTTACTTAATGACTATGGCAAGAATGGTAATAAAATGAGGCAAAACTCGCTTAACAACTGTCTTGCTTAGAAACAGAAATTTTGGGCTGAACTGTTGAGGACTATCTGTATTTCATGAAATCCATAA